TGGGTGGCGGGGAACTAGGAGCCTTGTAGGAGATGGGTTTAGGGTTTCAGCTTGCTTTTTAAGTTTTCCTTTGATGCTTTCCATTGTTTATGACTGGTTGAATATATAGTACTTACGTTACTTTTGGAAAATTTTGGATTGACTTGTTTTGCTTTAAATTCAGTCCAATACTAAGATTACTGACCTATACCTAAAGAATGTTTTAGCCCTAGCCGGTTTGGCTCAGTGGATAGAGCGGTGGCTTGAGGACTGAAGGGTCCCGGGTTCGATTCCAATCAGGGTACATGCCCGGGTTTCGGGCTCTGTCCCTAGTGGGGGGCATGCAGGAGGCTGCCGATCAATGATTCTCTCTCATCATTGATGTTTTTAACTCTCTCTGAACTCAATAAAAATATATTTTTAAAAAGAGAACGTTTTATTTTGCCCTGTAGTTTCGGTCTAATTTAGCTGCATGTAACCGCTATTGAGTGTGCATTGATGTTGCTTTCTCCTCCCAAAAGGAAAAAGGCGTTAATAAGACACAAAAGCATTGCGGAGGGCTCACAGAACGTTCGACAGATTGAAATCCCCAAGGTGTCCCAGAGCAGAGCGTCCCAGAGACCCGCGAGAAGCGTAAGTTGTTTCCCAGAGACGGGAAATGGCGCCGGAGAGCTAGTCCTTCTGCACCAGCCACGTGGAGGGCGGTGTCTGTGGCGGGGCGTGGGGGTGGAGCTCACAGAAGTCAAATCATACGCTATCCGCTCAGCCAAACCGGTTTCGGCTATTGCCCTCTTTGTGGATAGTTAGGGAGCCTCTTATTTTGTATTATTATTGCAGCCTTCAGTGTCCTTGGGTCATGTGTCTATTTTTGTGCATTTTGCAACCATTTCTGTTATGGATTCCGTAAGGAGAACTGTCAGGGTCAAAGCGTTCCAGGTGGGATTTTATTCTTTTATTTTAAATGCCTGTCTATTTTCTTACTGGGTCTTCTCGCCTTTCAGGAGAACTCTCGCCCCACTCTCCCACAGCCCTCACTCCCAGTGAAAGATCCAGTACAAGGTATGCTTTGTTCTCAGCGCCTGCTCATTGACTAGAATGACACGTTACTTGCTTGCATGTATTTAAGCAGCTGCCTAGTTATGGGCAGTTGTTGGTTAATGAAATATGACCAGATAGCATGTACTAGGAGAATAAGGTGTTCAGGTGGTTTCAAATGCTGCATTCTGCAAAATAACTTGCCTGAAATCTCTCTCTCTCTTTTTTTTTTTTTTTTGGTGGAGCATTTCTTTTTAAAAATTTATTTTTTATTGATTTCAGAGAGGAAGGAAGAGGGAGAAAGAGATAGAAACATCCACGATGAGAGAGAATCATGGATTGCCTGCCCTCCCAGAAAGTCCCCCACTGGGGATCGAGTCCACAGCCTGGGCATGTGCCTCTGACCGGAATCCAACCCTTCTGTTCGCAGACTGACGCTCTATCCACTGAGCCAAACCAGCTAGGATGAACATTTCTTAAAAACAAACAAGCAAAAAACACACACTATTTTTATTGATTTCAGAGAGGAAGGGAGAGAGAGAGAGAGAAACATCAGTGATGAGAGAGATTTATGGATCAGCTGCCTCCTGCATGTCCCATAATGGAGATCAGGCCCACCACCTGGGAATTGAACCGACCGTGACTTCCTGGTTCACAGGCTAGATAATGTGCCCTCGTACCCAGGAGACATGCACTGAAGTAGAGGGACTGGGGAGTCTCATGTCTGCCCTTCCTCTGCAGTGTGGAGGTGGGAAATTGTATAAATCGGGGAGGGCACGAATGATGACAGTGTGTGAATTTTAGCGACGACTGTTCATTGTGTTTCTCGAGGCCCAGTGCACAAACTCATGCACCAGGCTGGTCCTTCTGCCTGGCCTTGCAGGATCAGGCTGAAACCGGCTTTCCAACATCCCCCAGGGGGTCCTGGATTGTGAAAGGGCACAGGCCAGGCCAAGGGACCAGTGCATGATGGGGCTGGGGAAGGATGTGGGAAGTTGGTCAGCTGGGGAGGGACCTTGGAAGGGCTCCAGGGTGTGTCCCACCCATCTCACTCGGTCCCCATCGGCCCTACCCCAGCAAGCAAGTTCACCTACCAGTCAGAGCATCTTCCCCTTGATGGTCAGTGCACGCCATAGCACATATGCTTTGATTGATTAAGCAGATGACTGGACACTTAGCATATTAGGCTTTTATTATTTAGGATTCTTTGAAGCTTTCTGTAAATGTTAAACTTTTCAAAAACCTGAAAGAAACAGAAAGGAGCAATCCAGGTTAGCTGTCGATTCGTAGACAGCCTCCGGCAGCGTGGAGATGGAGGAACTTTTTCTTTTTTTTTAATATATATTTCATTGATTTTTTTTACAGAGAGGAAGAGAGAGGGATAGAGTTAGAAACATCGATGAGAGAGAATCATCGATCAGCTGCCTCTTGCACACCCCCCACTGGGGATGTGCCCGCAACCAAGGTCCATGCCCTTGACCGGAATCGAACCTGGGACCTTTCAGTCCGCAGGCCGACGCTCTATCCACTGAGCAAAACCGGCTTCGGCGAGGAGCTCTTTTCAAACTTTACTCTGTGATTGGGGTCCTTGCATTAATGTGTGTGTCCCTGATGGGAAGACTTAGGGGTCCTCTCAGTGTGTGGACCTCCTTCCTTTGGTTTTCTTTCAATGACTCTTAGAAAAATTTATCGCAGTGAATTATCGCCCAGCCTCCATGAGGCCACCCTAAGATTCAGAAGCCATTTTCCTCACTTTTGCCAAGTGTTTCTTCACTCTTCAGCTTCCCCCCACTAGCTTTCGTGCTGTTGAGTGAGGAAGGACATTTAAAACAACCCAGAAAAGCCGAAGCCGGTTTGGCTCAGTGGTAGAGCGTTGGTCTGCGGACTGAAAGGTCCCGGGTTCGATTCCAGTCAAGGGCATGTACATTGTTTGCGGGCACATCCCCGATGGGGGGTGTGCAAGAGGCAGCTGGTCGATGATTTCTCTTATCGATGTTTCTAGCTCTCTATCTCTCTCCCTTCCTCTCTGTAAAAAATAAATAAAATATATTAAAATAAATAAATAAATAAATGAATGAATAAATAAAACAACCCAGAAAATTTTCTCTCCCCTGGAGGCGGAGCTGAATACAAAGCAGCAGAAAAGGGAGGACAGTCACTCTGGCCCTGGGAGGTACGGGAAGGCCCATCCTCTCCCTGAGGGCTATGTCCATTCCTCAGCGAGCAGAGCGTCCAGGTGAGGCGTGTGGGCCTTCCGTGCGCTCCTGAAAGGTGGCGTCTACACTGAATGTATAAAAGGAAATGATTTTAGCCCTGGCCCGTGTGGCTCAGTTGATTGGGCTTCGTCTGCGCACCAAAAGGTTGCCAGTTCGGTTCCGGTTCAGGGCACATGCCCAGGTTTCTGCCTCAGTCCCCAGTAGGAGGCGTGCAGGAGGCCGCTGGTCAGTGTTTCAGTGTCACATTGATTCTCTCTCCCTTTCCCTTCCTCTCTCTCTAAAAATCAACTTAAAATAGCTCTAATGTACCGTGTGAGTATAGTAGTTTAGAAAATGCTCTCAGCCCTAACCGGTGTGGCTCAGTGGATAGAGTGTCAGCCTTCGGGCTAAAGGGTCCCAGGTTCGATTCCGGCCAAGGGCATGGACCTTGGTTGTGGGCACATCCCCAGTGGAGGGGGTGCAGGAGGCAGATGATCGATGTTTCTAACTCTATCCCTCTCCCTTCCTCTCTGTAAAACATCAATTAACTATGTTTTTTTAAAAAGAAAGAAAATCCTCCCTGTGTCTATTTAGTATTAATCTATAGAATAGTTTCCTTAAGCGGCTTCGCTCTGTTTTGGATACTTTCTTTTCCCACATATGGCTTATGTAAGTGACAATATTTGTCCTTTTTTTAATGTTTTCAGAAGTGACCAAAGTCCGAAGGAATCTCTTCACCCAGGAAATTTCTCCTTCCAAGAGACCGGCGAAGCGGGGGCTGCCGAGAAGCCACTCGGTGTCGGCCGTGGAGGGCCTGAGGCACAAGCTGGACAGCGCCGGCGGGACCAGAGGTGCCTTCCCGGTGCCCCTGCACTTCCTGTTTCCTCTTCTCCGTGGCTGCCTCCAGCTGCTCTCCCCTCGGGGTCTCTCCAGGCTGGTCTCTCAGCTCCCTTCTAGCCACCCCTGCAGACTAGCATCTGTTCTATAAAGCCAGTTAAAAGAAAGGAAGAGTAGTGATTAAACAGTCCTCTAGTTTTGTTTGTCCTTCTTAGATGATTGAGAGAGAATGCATGGATTGAAGTGTGTGATGCAGCGGTTTTCGGTATGTTCCGGAACGTTTTCATCACTCCGAAAAGAACCTCACGCCCCTTAGCAGCCACGCCCTGCCGTGGGCGAGAGCCCGCTGCCTTCTGTTTCTGCGGATCTGCCTTTTGTGGGAGTGTGTTGTACGTGGAGTAAGTCATACAGCAGGCCCCAGCGCCTCGTTTGCTTTTAGTGCCAGCACACACCGTGGTGCGGATGAATCGCACCATACTTACCCGCCATCAGTTGGTGGACATTCGAGTTGTTTCCAGTTTTTGGCCATTGTAAATCAGGCTACACACATTCACACCCAGGGTTCTGCATAGACGTGTTTTTAATTCTCAGGCACATGACTAGAAATGGATTTGCTAGGTCATTTGGTAACAAGATCTTTGGTTGATTACCTGCCCCCCATCCACTTCCCTTGTCTTCCCTCCAAGATGCTGTCTCTTCTTCATTCTACCCTTTCTAGTGGGGGTGTGTCTGGATCTTACTCTGGTGACGAGGTGCATTGTCCTGATAACTGATGTTGTGCTCACTGGCTGTTCGTGTGCTTCCTTTGGAGAAATGTCTGTTGGATTTTTGCCTGTTTTTCTTTTGGGTTTGTCTTCTTACTCTCAAGGTTCTCTATTCTAGGTACTTAGGAGATATATGACTTGCAAATATTTTATCCAAACTGTGGTCTGTCTTTTCACATTCTTGATAGCGCTCACCAAAGCTTTTAATTTCGATGAAGTCCACTTTATTCAAGTTAGCAGCTTTGGTTGTTGCTTGTGCTTTTGGAGTCTTTTCTAAAAAAAACAACAACAACAAAAAAACCATCATGTAACCCAAATTTTATACTGTCAGCTCTTCCATTGAGGTCTGGTGCACTCTGAATTCATTTTTGTATATGAGACTGTGGGAGACAGGAGTCCAGCATGTGACCATCCGGCTGTCCTAGCCCCGTTAGTTGAAAGGACTATTTTTCTTCTTTAAAACAGGAAAAAATGGCAGCCTGGTCCACAGTCAGCTGACCACCCGTGTCACCGTGTTCGTTCTTTCGTTGTTGGTGGAAATCAGCAGGGAAGCCATCTAGCCCAGACACTTCTTTACGGGAACTATTTCGAAGACTAAGCCCCTCTTTTTACTTGTCAGGGTTTATTTAGTTTTTCCGTTTCTTCTTGTGTCTGTGTCCAGGAGTTTGTGTGTCTCTAGGAGTTTGTCCATTTCATCCAGGTTGTCTAAGTTTTGGCTACAGTTGATCATAGTATCCCTCACACCCCATTTCTGTGAGAATGACAGTTATGTTCTCTCTTTCATTCCTGATTTTGTAGGTTGAAGCTCTTTTTTATTTATTTTGTCAGACCAGCTATAGGTTTGTCAATGATTAATTTTTTCAAAGAATCAACTTGGTTTCTTTATCTTTTTAAACATATTCTTATTGATTTCTGAGAGAAAGGGAAAGGGATGAGAGATAGAAACATGAATGAAGAGAAAGAATCATTGATCAGCTGCCTTCTGCACACGCCCTACCAGGGACTAAACCCGCAGCCTGGGCCTGTGCCCTGACCGGGAATCGAACCGTGACCTCCTGGTTCCTAGGTCGACACTCAACCCCTGAGCCAGGCCTGCTGGGCTCTGTTAGTTTTCCATTCTCAATTTTATTTATTTATGATGTCATTTTTAAAAATATATATATTTTATTGATTTTTCTTACAGAGAGGAAAGGAGAGAGATAGAGAGCTAGAAACGTCGATGACAGAGAAACATCGACCAGCTGCCGCTTGCACACCCCCTACCGGGGATGTGCCCGCAACCAAGGTACATGCCCCTGACTGGAATCGAACCCGGAACCTTTCAGTCTGCAGGCCGACGCTCTATCCACTGAGCCAAACCAGTTAGGGCTGGATAAAGAATTGTTAATTGAATCTTTCTTCTTTTGACACTTTGGATATATCATCACACTGCCTAATGAGAAACCAGCTGTAGATCTTACCCAGGATCCCTTGTATCTGATAAATCACTGCATGTCAACATTGTCATATACTTTATTTTACTTGTAGATACAAGAGCCACGACTAGGTGCAGAGATGTGTGGGCTCTGTGTCATCGTGAGCAGCTCATTCCCTAGGAACCTTTCATATCTTCGCTTTCTGTGCTCTGTAGCCTCTGACAGTGGTGATAAACGGCTAAATGGAGCCCCAGGGTTAGGCCGAGGCCCACTGCTGCCGGGGAAAGGCCGTGTCTAAGGGACCGCGTGCTGCTTGCCTTGCAGGGCACCACAGGCTGCTGACCAGGACCGTGGCCGAGACCCCAGAGCACAAGCAGGTGTCCGGGCGGCTGCTGCACAGGCAGATCCAGGGCAGGTGAGTGACACTGTGCGTCCACCCACACCCCCCTCCACCCACACCCCCCTCCACTCGCTCCCCCCTCCGCCCACACCCCCCAGACGGCTCTCCCAGCTCCGAGAGCTTCGTGACTCAGATGCCAACTGTCTCTTAGCCAGAGAGCATCCTGTCGGCTCCGAGGGCCGAGAACCTTCGGGGGGGTTCCGTCATGCCTCGCACACCCGCCCAGCGGTGTTGAGATTTACCCATGCTGTTCGCGTGTCTGCTGATACCTGTTACTGAGCAGTGACATGTATTGGATGGATATTCCACAATTTGTTTTTATTGATTCAGAGAGGGAGGGAGAGGGGGAGAGAGATGGAAACATCAGTGATGGGAGAGAATCATTGGCCATCTGCCTCCTGTATGCCCCCCGCTGGGATCGAGCCCACGGCCCAGGCCTGTTCCTTGACTGGGAATCAAACCCTGATCTCCTGGTTCATGGGTTGACGCTCACCCACTGAGCACACCAGCTGGGCTGGATAGCTCACAGTTTTAAAATCCATGTGCTGACGGGGAGTTAGAGGGCGGTCTTCGTCATGGCCAGGCAGGGCTGGAGTCTAAGGTCCCACCTTCCTGTGCTGAGGGGCGGTTTCCATGGCAGCAGCCTGGGCAAAGCAGGACTCCCTGACGTTGTCTGTCCTTTACTACCCGTCCGGTTCTCAGAGGCCAGTTTGGGCCGCACCTCTGGGTGTGTCCAGGGTGTCGGCCTCTCTGAGAAGCAGAGCTCCGGGAGCTCCCTGCCCGCCTCTGGGCCCCGAGTCTCAGCCAGGCGGCTCTGCTCTCCGCCTTTGTCTTCCTCAGTCGCTGCATGTAACGTACCCAAGACTGCCGTGTTTACAGGACGGCCAGGGAGGAGCACATGCGTGTGTCTTGTCGTTACTGGTGTTTGGGTTTATAAGTTGTGGGAAGGGAAGTTTGTAGATATTAGAGTGGAAGGGGGTGGGGAGTGATTGCTTGCCTCACACACATGCCATCAGCTGGGCTGGGGGTCAAACCTGCACCAGGTACGTACCAGTGAATTGAACTCGACTCTTTGGTGTGCGGGCTGACACTTTAACCACTGAGAGACAGCGGCCAGGGCAAAAGTATCTATCTTTAATTTTGAAGTTGTAAATAGATGTTTTAAGCCCTGGCTGGTTTGGCTCAATGGATAGAGCATCAGCCTATGGACTGAAGGGTCCCGGGTTCGATTCCAGTCAAAGGCACAGGCCTGGGTTGCAGGCTCCATCCCCAGTAGGGGGCGTGCAGGAGGCAGCTGATCAATGATTCTTTCTCATCATTGATGTTTCCCTCTTACTTCCTCTGTGAAGTCAATAAAAAAATATATTTTTAAAAAAATGTTTTAAGCCCTGACTGGTTTGGCTGAGTGGATAGAGCCTGCGTACTGAAGGGTCCCAGGTTCTATTCTAGTCAAGGTTTCTCTCTCTCCCTCTCTGAAATCAATAGAAATACATACGCTTTTTAAAAATGTTTGAACTCTGATAGTGTGAGAGGTGTTCTCAGACTTGCGTGCTGAGAGGCCGTATCTCTGTAGTGTGTTCATTATGAATTAACTAGTGGCTAATCCTTGTGCTCCTGGTTCCTCAGGTCCTCTGACCCTGGTCCTGAGGTGGATGTTGTGGAGGAGTCCCCGGAGAAAGGTACGCAGCCCCTTCTTCTGGATTCTTGCTGCTCTCGGTGGCAGCCTCATGCCCCGGGCCGCCCTGCCCGTCACCCTGAGACGGAGGGGAAGGTCAGGCCCGTGAAACCGGATGGTTTGGCCCTGCCAAGGCAGTAGGGGTGAAGGTGACAATTGTTTATGCTCCCCAAATGGTTTATAAATATCCAAATGGCCCTCGGCAGAAAACGGCTCCCCACCCCTCCTCTAAGCTGTTCACAGGTAGGTGACGGTGCTGCACACCAGCAATCCTGAGTGGCCTTTTTAAAAGTCAAGGAATATGATTTTTGTAGAAAAATTGGGGGGGGCAAAATTTTGATAATCACTTGGTAATCCCAAAACTCTGAAATACTGTTAACAGTTTAGCTTTGGCTTTAATATTATTCTTATGGGTGTTACTTATATGCAAATATATGTAATATACGCATAAACTACAATTTTTAAATTTAATCATTTTTACAAGCATGACTGTACTTTATACATTTCCACCGTGCGTCATGGTGGCCGTTCATGACACTGAGGTGACAGGCTCGGGGGCCACACACCTCCTATCTTTGCTGTGACGATGAAGTCTCCACCAATGGCTTGTCACGCTCCTGTTTGGTAAAACATGGATGTTGCTCATGTGTACATGGAGAGTCAGGCTGGTGTCTCCCTGCTGACTGGCTGATCTGCTTTTGCAGAAGTGAGCCTGAGAAGAAGCCCACGCATCAAGCAGCTGTCCCTCGGCCAGACGAAGTCCGGTCCCTTCTACTCTGTGTCGCAGCCGCCGCCGCGCAGCGTGCAGAGAGCTCACTCCTCTCGGCAGAGCCGGTCAGGTAACTCGGTGGGAAGTGCTTTTGGAAAAGCATGAGGTTTGGCCTCGTTTCTGGACACGGAGTAGAGCAGGTGAGGGGTTTGAAGTTCGGGTGATGAACAATCAGGGTCTTTATGATCCGCATCATCCCAGGGGGTCTGACAGCTGCCCCCACCCATTCCAGAGGTGGCCTGTGACTCCCACCTGCGCTCATGTCTGCACCTGTCCCCGGAGGCAGGCAGGGTCTGTATCTGCTGTCATAGTTACAAACGAAAATGCTTTGGTTGGTTATATTTCCTAGCATAGGCCTGGGGTAACCGCAGTCTTATTAGAACTCAGGACGCCAGCATGATCACAGTAGTTGCTGACACCATCCCCCGCCCTCTTCTCTCTGAACGGACTAGCTGTTTGGTGCCGGAGGGAATGAAGCTGTCCCTGTTGTTGGCTTGCAGACCCAGGATCGCCGAGCATCCCGAGCATCCGCTCTCCGAAGACGCTGCTTTTCGGGGCCGTGTCCGAGGTGGTCAGGCCCTCAGAGGAGGGTGCGGCTCGACGGAAAGGGGCTTCAGGAGACACAGTGGCCTCTGAGATGCCGACAGCTCACCAGGTAGGTCATGTCTATCACACTTAGAGAACACACACACACACACACACACACACGGCCAGGGAGGCACAGCGCCATAACCGGAGGCTCGTTCTCAGAAGACACAGTGGCCTCTGAGATGCCGACAGCTCACCAGGTAAGTCATGTCAGTCACACTTGGAGAACACGCACACGGCCAGGGAAGCAGTGCCATAACCGGGAGGGAGGCTCACGGGTGCTGTCTGAGTTGTTGCTTTTAGTGACCAGCTGAGATGAACATTCCAACAGGCAGCGTTAGGTTGGCAGAACGTTGGTCCCGCCTTTAAAACTTTTATGGACGATGGAGATTGTCCACGTTCCACTGACCAGCGTTTAGTCCTGAGAATAAGCCAGGTCAGGGAAGAGGTCAGCCTCACTGCCTCAGGTGGCTCCACAGGGAGGCCTGTGTAAGCAGCAGCCATGTGTCTGGAAAAACAAAGGGAACCTGAACAGTCACACAAGATCGATAAGGGACAGTGTGTAGGGGAAGAAAATAAGAGCTTACACAGAGAGAGATACTGAGAGTTCAGGGAGGGGGAGATGTGGGATGAGAGAAGAGGCGGGTCAGAGATAGAAGTGACAGGAATGAAATCAGGGAGACAGAGAAAAGAAAATAGGAAGATCAAAGAGGGGGAAAAATGGAGAGACCGAAAAGAAGGGATGAAGGTGGTCAGAATAACAGAATTCAAAGAGAAGATCGGGAAATGAAAAGCAGAAGGTAGATTTTAGAGAGGAGAGATTGAGATGAGAGAACTGATGAGAAAGCAGATAGAGTTCAGAGATCAGATAGAGGAGAGAGAAATGAAAGGCAGTGATAGATCTCAGAGATGGAAATCAGGGTCCAGCGACAAATAATTAGAAAAGAACATAGAAGAGAGTGAGGTCAAAGAAGAACGAGTTCAGAGAGTGGAGTCTGGAGGAAAAAGTGGCAAGAATGAAATCAGACAGAAGATTGGGAGACCAGAGAAAAATGAGAGAGAAAATGAGTTCTGAGGAGGAGAAAGGAGGGAGGAAGCAGTGGGAGCAAAGGAGGAGCAGCAAGAGATCAGGGAGAAGAGTGTGAGCTCCCTCAGAAAGTGAGAGTTGGAGATCACAGTGTGGGAGGGAAAAGAAGGGAGCAGAGAGAGCACAGGGAGTGATGCAGATCAGGGAGCGGGAAAGAAATGACTGAGAGAGAAGGGGGAGCAGACAGGAGGAGGAAAGGGGAGGAAGAAATAGAAGTGAGATCAGGGAGAGGCAGATCTGGGGAGAGAAGAGGTGAGAAGAGAAGGTGAAGGAGAGAGAGTGGGAGCACAGAGAAGGAGGGCAATGAGAGAAGCGTGTGCAAAGAGAGAAGCAGACTCGGAAATCAGAGAGAGGAGAGACTGAGGGAAGAGTGCACAGAGGCCGAGAGCGCAGAGTGAGAAAGGAGCGATCAGACAGAGCTGAATGTGTGAGAAGACACGGCAGGAAGAGCAGGAAAGGTACAGAGACTGAGCTCAGAGAGGGGAGGGGTCTGAGCGAGAAGCGGGGAGCACGGAGATGAGGATGGAGGGCACTGAGGGAAGGGATTTGGAAGGCAGATGGAAGGAAGTGGCGGAAGAAGAGTGAGTTCAGAGGGAGGTGAACAGAGAGGAAAGATGTTAAGAGAAGGCGGCGGGGTGATGGAGAGAACAGAGGAGAGTTGGAATGAAAGGCCGAAGATCAATATGAGAAAACAACCCAGAGGAAGGTGGGACCGAGAGAAATAGACGGAGGAGGAGAGAGTTCTGAGGGAGATGGAGACAGAGCCAAGAGAGTTCTAAAGAGGAGGTGAGGGGAGAGGGAGAGGAGGCCCCGCAGAGAGAAGACAGGAGGTGTGTGTGGGTAAGAGTGAATCCATGGAGGGAGAGAGGAGAGTGAAACCAGAGGAACGAGGAGAGGGGGAAGGTGGGAGAGAGGAAGGGAGATGTGAGGAGCGGGGAGCTGAGAGAACAGAGGCCCCTCACCTGCTGCCAGTGGATCTCCTCGTCTCCGCAGCGAAGATGGCAGGTTTGGGGTGACACGTGCTGGTCACCATTTTTATTTCAGACGAGACTGAGACCCACATTAGAACTTTGTCTTGCTTACCTATTTTTTGTCTCTAACATCCCACGCTTTCTGCCCAAGAAGTTCAAAGGTGGTTTGTTTTACCTTTGCTCATATTTTTTACACCCAGAGTACCCTGCCACCCCCAAACCCTTTTTTAAGAATATGTTTATTGATTTCAGAGAGGAAGGGTGAGGAAGGGAGAGATAGAAACACCAGTGATGAGTGAGAATCATGGATCAGCTGCTCCTACACGCCCCTGCCCTGGGGATGGAGCCCACAACCCAGGCCTGTGCCCTGACCGGGAATCCAACACTGACCTGGTTCACAGGTCTGTGCTCAGCCACTGAGCCACACCAGCTGGGCCCCTTCCCCTGTTAACACACTTGGACATCCCCCTGCCCTGGCCTCCATTGGTCTAACGGCGAGCTGTCCTCCAGCTCCGTCGCCCCATGCACGCTCCCGACGTTGCATTAGCCACACACGCCGTCCTGTCCACCCCCAGAGCACAGGCACCTCATCAGGCCACAGCTGTGGGCGGCGTGGGGGCCCCTTACCTGCAGGTCTGCAGCGTCTTGGCAGGCGGCGAGGATCGTTTCAGAAGATCGGGAAATTAGAGTGAGAAATGTAAGTCAGTGATAGATCTCAGAGATGGAAAGCAGGGTCCAGGGACAAAAAGTTAGAGCATAGGATAGGGTGAGGTCAAAGAAGAACGAGTTCAGAGTGGAGAGAGGAGTCGGGAGGAGAAAGTGGCAAGAATGCAATCACACAGAAGTATGGGAGCTCAGAGAGCACAGAGCCGTATCACAGGAGACAGGGCAGCAGAGCAAAGTGAGACCACAGAGAAATGAGAGAGAAAATGAGTTCTGAGGAGGAGAAAGAGGAGAGGAAGAACAGTGGGGGCAAAGAAGGAGTAACAAGAGATCAGAGAGAAGAGTGTGAGCTCCCTCAGAAAGTGAGAGTTGGATACCACAGTGTGGGGAGAAAAGAGGGGGATGTGGGAGCAGAGGGAAAGATGCAGACCAGAGAGAGGGAAAGAAATAACAGAGAGAGAAGAGGGAGCAGACAGGAGGAGGAAAGGGGAGTAAGAAATAGAAGTGAGCCAGGACCGGTTTGGCTCAATGGATACAGCGTCGGCTTGGGGACTGAAGGGTCCCGGGTTCGATTCCGGTCAAGGGCATGTACCTTGGTTGCGGGCATACCCCCAGTGGGGGGTGTGCAAGAGGCAGCTGATCGATGACTCTCTCTCATTGATGTTTCTAACTCTGTATCTCTCTCCCTTTCTCTCTGTACAAAATCAATAAAATATATTTAAAAAAGAAAAAGAAAAAAGAAGTGAGATCAGGGAGAGGCAGATCTGGGGAGAGAAGAGGTGAGAAGAGAAGGTGAAGGAGAGAGAGTGGAAGCACAGGGAAGGAGGACAATGAGAGAAGCGTGTGCGAAGAGAGAAGCAGACTCAGGGAAATCAGAGAGAGGAGAGACTGAGGGAAGAGTGCAGAGGCCGAGAGCGCAGAGTGAGAAAGGAGCGATCAGACAGAGGAGAGCAGGGCAGTCTGTGAGAAGACACGGCAGGAAGAGCGGGAAGGGTACAGACCAATGAGCTCAGAGAGGGGAGGGGGGTCTGAGTGAGAAGCAGAGAGATGAGAGGATGGAGGGCACTGAGAGAAGGGATTTCGATGGCAGATGGAAGGACGTGGCGGGAGAAGAGTGAGTTCAGAGGGAGGTGAACAGAGAGGAAAGTCGTTAGAGAAGAAGGCAGGGAGATGGAGAGAACAGAGAGTTGGAAGGAGAATTGAAAGGCCGAAGGTCGATCTGAGAAAACCACCCAGAGGAAGGTGGGACCGAGAGAAATAGACGTTGGAGGAGAGAGTTCTGAGGGAGATGGAGACAGAGCCAAGAGAGTTCTAAAGAGGAGGTGAGGGGAGAGGGAGAGGAGGCCCCGCAGAGAGAAGACAGGAGGTGTGTGCGGGTAAGAGTGAATCCATGGAGGGAGAGAGGAGAATGCAGTCAGAGGGACGAGATGGGGAAGAGACATCTGAAATGATAGAGGAGAGCAGGAGCGGGTGGGAGAGAGGAAGGGAGATGTGAGGAGCGGGGAGCTGAGAGAACAGAGGCCCCTCACCTGCTGCCAGTGGATCTCCTCGCCTCTGCAGCGAAGATGGCAGGTTTGGAGTGACACGTGCTGGTCACCATTTTTATTTCAGACGAGGCTGAGACCCACATGAGAACATTGTCTTGCTTACCTATTTTTTGTCTCTAACATCCCACTCTTTCTGCCCAAGAAGTTCAAAGGTGGTTTGTTTGTTTTTTTACCTTTACTCATATTTTTTACACCTACAGTACCCTGCCACCCCCAAACCCTTTTTTAAGAATATGTTTATTGATTTCAGAGAGGAACGGTGAGGGAGGGAGAGATAGAAACATCAGTGATGAGAGAAAACCTTCCATCGGCTGCCTCCTGAACAACCCAGGCCTGTGCCCTGACCGGGAATCCAACACAGACCTGGTTCACAGGTCTGTGCTCAGCCACTGAGCCGCACCAGCTGGGCCCCTTTGCCCTGTTGATACACTTTCCTGGGTATCCCCCTGCCCCGGCCTCCATTGGTCTAACGGCGAGCTGTCCTCCAGCTCCGTCGCCCATGCTCGCTCCCGACGTTGCATTAGCCACACGGGCGGTCCCGTCCACCCCCAGAGCACAGGCACCTCGTCAGGCTGCAGCCGTGGGCGGCGTGGGGGCTGCTTACCTGCAGGTCTGCAGGGTGTTGGCAGGCGGCGAGGGCAGTTTCAGAAGATCGGGAAATTAGAGTGAGAAAGGCAGAAGATAGATTTTATAGAGGAGAGATTGAGATGATGCAAAAATTGATGAAAGCAGATAGTGGGGTAAGAGGGAGGGAGGGGAGAGAAATGAAAGGCAGTGATAGATCTCAGAGATGGAAAGCAGGGTCCAGGGACAAAAAGTTAGAGCATAGGATAGGGTGAGGTCAAAGAAGAACGAGTTCAGAGTGGAGAGAGGAGTCGGGAGGAGAAAGTGGCAAGAATGCAATCACACAGAAGTATGGGAGCTCAGAGAGCACAGAGCCGTATCACAGGAGACAGGGCAGCAGAGCAAAGTGAGACCACAGAGAAATGAGAGAGAAAATGAGTTCTGAGGAGGAGAAAGGGGAGAGGAAGAACAGTGGGGGCAAAGAAGGAGTAACAAGAGATCAGAGGGAAGAGTGTGAGCTCCCTCAGAAAGTGAGAGTTGGATACCACAGTGTGGGGAGAAAAGGGGGATGTGGGAGCAGAGGGAAAGATGCAGACCAGAGAGAGGGAAAGAAATGACAGAGAGAAGGGGGAGCAGACAGGAGGAGGAAAGGGGAGGAAGAAATAGAAGTGAGATCAGGGAGAGGCAGATCTGGGGAGAGAAGAGACAGGGGAAGGAGGGAAGAGAGACTGAGGGAACAGTGCACAGAGGCCGGGAGCGCAGAGTGAGAAAGAAGCGATCAGAGAAAGCTGAGTGGAGAGCAGGGCAGTCTGTGAGAAGACACGGCAGGAAGAGCGGGAAGGGTAGAGACATGAGCTCAGAGAGGGGAGGGGGGTCTGAGCGAGAAGCAGGGAGCAGAGAGAGGAGGGAGATGAGGATGGAGGGCACTGAGAGAAGGGATTTCGAAGGCAGATGGAAGGACGTGGCGGGAGAAGAGTGAGTTCAGAGGGAGGTGAACAGAGAGGAAAGTCGTTAGAGAAGAAGGCAGGGAGATGGAGAGAACAGAGAGTTGGAAGGAGAATTGAAAGGCCGAAGATCGATCTGAGAAAACAACCCAGAGGAAGGTGGGACCGAGAGAAATAGACGGAGGAGGAGAGAGTTCTGAGGGAGATGGAGACAGAGCCAAGAGAGTTCTAAAGAGGGGAGAGGGAGAGGAGGCCCCGCAGAGAGAAGACAGGAGGTGTGTGCGGGTAAGAGTGAATCCATGGAGGGAAGAGAGTGAAACCAGAAGAACGAGATGAGATGAAGGTCAGAGAGGAGGGGGGGACGGTGGGAGAGAGGAAGGGAGATGTGAGGAGCGGGGAGCTGAGACAGAACAGAGGCCCCTCACCTGCTGCCAGTGGATCTCCTCGTCTCCGCAGCGAAGATGGCAGGTTTGGGGTAACTCGTGCTGGTGACCATTTTTATTTCACACGTGCTGAGACCCACATGAGAACATTGTCTTGCTTACCTGTGTTTTGTCTCTGAACTTCTTGGGCAGAAAGAGCCGGATGTTAAAGGTGTTTTGTGTGTTTACCTTTACTCGTATTTTTTACACCCACAGTTCCCTGCCACCCCCAGACCCTTTTTTTAGAATATGTTTATTGATTTCAGAGAGGAACGGTGAGGGAGGGAGAGATAGAAACATCAGTGATGAGAGAAAACCTTCCATCGGCTGCCTCCTGAACAACCCAGGCCTGTGCCCTGACCGGGAATCCAACACAGACCTGGTTCACAGGTCTGTGCTCAGCCACTGAGCCGCACCAGCTGGGCCCCTTTGCCCTGTTGATACACTTTCCTGGGTATCCCCCTGCCCCGGCCTCCATTGGTCTAACGGCGAGCTGTCCTCCAGCTCCGTCGCCCATGCTCGCTCCCGACGTTGCATTAGCCACACGGGCGGTCCCGTCCACCCCCAGAGCACAGGCACCTGGTCAGGCTGCAGCCGTGGGCGGTGTGGGGGCTGCTTACCTGCAGGTCTGCAGGGTGTTGGCAGGCGGCGAGGGTCGTTTCAGGAGATCGGGAAATCAGAGTGAGAAACGAAAGGCAGGAGATAGATTGGCCATGGACACCCGTCATTACTAAGATCTCCCCCTCTCCTTTCTAACCGCCCCAGAGCCGTGGTCGGCAAACTGCAGGATGATAGCCACCTGCGTCTCTTTGGCCCCTTGAGTGTGGCTCTTCCACAAAATGCCACGGCCTGGGCGAGTCTATGTTGAAGAAGTGGCATGAAAAGAAGTTGAAGTTTAAACCATGTGGCTCTCCAAAGAAATGTCAATATTTGGCTGCTGACTAATGAGTTTGCGGACCAGGGCCCTAGCGGTTACGGGACCTCCGTTCCTGGGCAGAGAGGGTGGGTTACCGTGTCCACCACTAACTACGTCTCCTTCACAGACTCCGAAGAAGAGCTCCCGGGAACGCCCCAGCTCCCCGAAAGCAGCGACGCCCCCGCAGCCGCCCCGGGCCCCCCGCACCCCCGCCCGGCAGCCACGGCCCTCTGCGCCCCACGGCCGCCGCTCGCCTCCTCCGCCCGCAGCCTCGCCCCTCGGCCGCCCCCTGCCCGAAGGCGGCCATTCCCCGGGGTCTCCGCAGAGCCCCCGGCTGCCCGCGGCGGCCTCCAGTCCAGAAAGCACGCCGCGTCCTGCAGCCTGGGGGGCGCCCAGAGCGGCTGCCCGCGTGGCCGCAGCTCCGCCACAGCCACTCCAGCACCCCCACCGCCCCGGAGCCCCGACAGGACCCGGGGACACAGCCGTGCCAGCTTCCCCGCCTGCGTCTCCGCTCGGCTCCCCTGTGGGCGGCAGTCCCGAGAGCCCCCCCTGGACAGCCTGGGCCGAGTCCCCTCCCCCTGGACAGCTGGACGGGAGAGCGCCCCAGAGAGCCCCCGGCCCTGCCCCCGCGCTGCCCCCCAGCACCTCGCGGCGCGCAGAGCCGGACTCCAGCCCCAGCCCCCGCCCTCCTGAAGGGGGGACGAGGCTGGGAAGCACCTCCAGTCCCGAGAGGGGCTCCCTGGAGGGCGCCCCGGGGCCGGGCTGCAGGAGCGGCTGGCACACGCCCTCCCCGCTGCTCCCCGCAAGGGACACGGAGCCCCGCCCAGTCCCGGACGAAGCCGCTGCCGGGAACAGCCATGTTGCTCCCGTGGCTGCTGGGGAGCAGGCGTCTGGCCCCGGGACTCCTGCCTCCGCGCCCGGCTCTCCGCAGACACCGCCCCGCACCCTGCTCTGTGCGGCCCCCGGAGGGCAGTGCCTGCCCGCGTCCGCCCAGCTGTCAGAGGCTCCTGCCCAGCCCCAGGCCTACGAGGCGGAGCTGGACGTGCAGGCCGGCGGGCTGCCCAAGCTTCCAATCAAGAAGGTGGACACCAGCCCGGGGTGCGAAGCCGAGCCGCTGAGGAGGGACCCGAGTGTGCCCCCTGGCCTGGGCGGGCCCAGGGGCAGCAAGTCCTCAAAACCCGACACCTACACACCGCCCCCCTGCTTGCGCCCCTCGCACGGCAGCCCCAGCAAGAACGGCGGACAGACCTACATCTGCCAGTCCTGCACCCCCACCCGCTGCCCCTCGAGCACCCCCAGTCCGCTCCAGGCCGAGGCCGGGGCTCCCTGGACGCCGTCTCCCAAGCACAGCGGGAAGACCACCCCGGACACCATCAAGGACTGGCCGCGGAGGAAGCGGGCGGTGGACGGCAGCCTGGGCGGCCCTGTGGGCAGGGCCGACGCGGGCACAGACCTTGGTGGGGGCGGGGCGCTCCTGCGGCCGGAGGGCGCGGAGCTGGACCTGGAGCTCGGCCTCCACAAGACGCGTGTCCTGGGGGACTTTGAGCTCGAGGGGGTGTGTCAGCTGCCAGACCAATCCCCTCCGGGAGCCGGAGACGGGGTGCCCGGGTCCGAGGAGGCCCCGTCCTGGAGGCCGTCCGGGTGGGGCTCCCGGAAGAGGCTGCTGTCCCCCGAGGACACGGAGTGTGAAGCCAAGAGGGCCTGTGAGCCGCGGGGAGAGGCCCCGGAGGCCCGGGGCGAGGCCAGGTCTCCAGGCAACGAGGAGCCGTGGGTTCTGGGTGAGTGTGACCCCGGGACGGGGGCGGGGCCCGGGGCCGCGCTGACCGCCTCCCCCCTGCAGGCTCCACGCCCCCTCCTGGCCGCGCCGTGCGCAGCGGCCTCTCCGCCCGCGGCCTCCAGGCCCTGACCCAGTCCCCGCTGCTGCTCCCCGGGAGGACGCCCGCCGCACAGGGCACCGCCGCCCCAGGTAAGTCGTGGGCCACACTCCACGCCCCCGGGCTCCGGGGCCGGGGGGAGGGCAGTTTTGAGGGGGCGAAGGGGCAGGGATGTGCGTGGCGCCACCCAGGGAACCCCGTCCTACCAGGCACTTGGGGTCCTGAAAGCGGCGGCAGACGTGTGCACAGCGCAGTCCCTGGAGGCTGAGCCGTGTCCTCGTCTGCGTGTCCCGCGGCAGGATGGCCCGCAAAGCCCTGGCCGAGCCTGTGTCGCACGTTAGATGGTCAGGGAGCAGGAGGGCCTCCGTGGCCCCTCCCTCAAGGCCGCGGCAGAGCCCACCACCCCCCGCAGCTGAGACGGCAGCACAGGGCGCCCCAGGGGAGGCCGCCTCTGCTGCGCCCTCAGCGCTCTCCTGGCTCTAGATGAGGACTCAGATGTGCTTCCCGCCGAGGACTCTCCGTTCAGCCGAGCCCTTTCCAGGACGCGCCCCGTCAGCAGGACGTACTCCCGGAAGAAGCTCCTCAGCTAAAGGGGGACCCGGCAGGGCCCCTGACCAGACACTACAGAGCCTGCCAGCCCCGTCTCTACACGCTGCCGGCTGCTCCGGGGGAGCAAGTCCCACAGCAGCCCTCCCAGCCCCTCCCCACCCCGCACCCGGCCTCCCCGACAATAAAGTTACCTCTGTAGCTGGCGTGCCTGGCGGGGTGCTCTCGCCGGCCTCCCTGACCTGCCTGCGCCTCGTGGGGAGCCGCACCGGCTCTGCCCGGAGCCAGTGGGAGACCACAGCGTCGTCCCGGCCGCGAGGAGTCAGTGTCCCAAGTCTGACCCGTTCCGAGCTGCTGTGTTCCTGCTTCCTACTGCTGTCCGTCTGTTTTCCCAACACTCCATTTCTCAAGAGGTTACTCGTTTATTAAAAAGTGGTTTTACAAAATTCTACAAAACCTTTCCCAGTTTCCCCAGGTCCGTGTGCCCATCCAGGCACGGCCTCCTGTGGCCGTGCAGGCCCCCAGGCCGGAGCACCCTGAGCGGCCAGAGGTGCCAGGGGCTCGGCTCTGGGAGGGAGTGGGGGTCCGCTCTGGGGAGCTGAGGCCAGTTCCCGCTGGCTGTCCCGGTGACGGACCCCGTCTGGAGGACGCACACGGCACAGTACCTGTCAGCCGGCCCCTCCAGGCGCTGCGGCTACAGCGGGTTCCTCCGCACGTCGATCATGCCGGGGCTGGGCCTCCGCAGCTCCCGCCGCGGCCTGGCCAGGGGCCCGAGGTGCCGGGGCGGCCCCGCCCCCGCCCCCGCCCCAGGCAGGACTCGCCCCAGGGGGGGCTCCGCGGCCTCGGGGGCGGCCTGCTCCTCCCCGCCCAGGCCGGAGCGCTTCCAGGTCAGCGGCAGCGGGGCGCGCGGGTCCCTCTCCTCCCGGGCTCGGGGGGCGCCCTCCGCCAGGGGCGGCTGCCAGGGCGGCTCCTCGTCCCCCGGCGGCGGGCGGTTCTCGGGGCACAGGCCCTTCTCCCCGCCTGCACAGATCGACGCCCCCCCGTCAGAAAGGGGTGCAGGCCCTCAGTCCCCGCTCCCCTCCCGGCAGAGCTGGCACTGGGGCCAGACCTTCCCGCAGGGCCTCACCCCGGCTCCGGCTCCGGCTCTGGCCCGCGGCGCTGCCCGCGCTCAGCCTCTGCCGCAGCTCCTGGTTCGCCCACACGTGGCGGCCCAGCTCCCGCTCCAGCGCCTGGATCCGGCCCTCGTATTGCCGCCTGCTGTCGGCCAGCCCCTCGCCGAGGTGGTCTGGGGGACAGAGGGGGTGGTGGGCCGGACGGGGAACGGGGAACGGGGCCCGGGCCGGGCCAGGCCGGGGCGCGGCCTCACCTCGGCTCTGCTGCAGCAGCAGCTGCACGTGCTGCTCGTGCTCCTTCTGCTGCAGCGTCAGCTGCCGGTCCGTCTCCAGGCGCTGCCGCTCCAGCGCCGCCTCCAGCCAGAACACCAGCCGCTGCTGCTCCTCCAGCTGCATCTCCAGCTCCGAGAAGGCCACCTGCTGCTGGTGCTGCTCCTCGCGCAGCGTCACCACCTGCGTGCGCCCAGCTGCCCTCAGGCCGGACCGGGCCAGGTGCCCCCGCCCGGGGCAGTGCCAGATGCCACTGAGAAACCAGGGCCTCAGTCCTCCTCAGCCCTCCAGGCCGCGATTCCCAAATCAGGAGTGTGATCGCCATCCCCCCTCAAACTTTAGGGCTTCCTGGGGCCAGGATTTCGGTCTCGACAGGGACGTGTGAGCTGCTGCCCTACTGTGTGACAGAGCGCCCCTGGCCAGCGGGCACAGGCCACCCTGAAGGTGCCAATCAGATGGGAGGGGGAGGAGACAGTCTCGCCAATAGAACAGGCTTTAGAGAGAGAGACACAGAGAGGCGGGCTGCCCCACCTTGTCAAAGTACTTGCAGAGCAGGGCCCTGGTCTCGGAGGAGGACAGGTAGCTGAGCTTGGCCAGGAGGTTCATCTCGCACTGGGACAGCAGCGAGGCCGAGGCCCGCAGCGCCCGCTGCCGGGAGGCGATGGCCTCGTTCTTGTACTCGATGGCCGCATCCAGGGCCTCCACGGCCTCGTCCAGCTGGAACAGCGTCCGCTCCTCCTGCGGGGGCGGGGCAGGCATGGGGTGGGGTTCCCCATTTCCCGGGCGACTGAGTCCTAGTCCACAGCTGACCCGTCTGTCCCCTCCTCCTGGGCTGTCAGCCAGACACCGCTGGGGAGGCCGGGCTCTGCACTCAGGCAGGACCCCTCGGTCCCGGCACTCATGCCCACAGGGGAGCTGAGCTGTGGGGAGCTCAGTGCACACAGGATGCACAGGGGAGGGAGCGGAGGGTGCAGCCCCAGGGCCAGTCCCCGTACCTCGGGCGAGAGCAGGCTGCCCTGGCGCAGCTTGCCGTCGATCTCCAGGCGCTGCTTGAGCAGCGAGTCCTTCTCCTGGCGCAGGGCGTCGATCTCGCCGCGGATCTGCTGCTGGCTCTGCGCGCTGCCCTGGCGCAGCTGCCCGCTCTTCTCCGACAGCTCCCGCTCCAGGTGCTCCAGCCGGCTGGACACGCGCACGATGTCCTCCGTCAGGGCCTGGGGGCACCGGGCGTTAGGGAGGGGGGCAGACTGGGGGGGGGCACTTGGAGTGGTCCCCATCAGCCCGAACTCCGGGGCGCCCTCACCTGGCTGGACCGCAGGCGCTTGCTCTCCAGCCCCGTCTTCTCCTGCACCAGCGCCTCCTTCTTGGCCAGGATGGCCTCCCGCTTGCGCAGCTCCTCCCCCAGCTCCTCCAGCGCCCGCCGCTGCTGCAGCACCTTCTCCATCTCCTGGTCCAGCCACCGCTTCTGTTCCTCCACCTTCTGAGGGGCGGGGGGAGGCGGGCGCTCAGCGCCAGCGCTCAGGCTGCTGGGGGCAGCCCGGTGCGGCTGTGGGTGCGGGGCCCACCTGCTGCTGCTCCAGGGAGAACACGGAGCCGCTGCTGCCGCTGCGCCGCTTCCTCTGGAACGCCGCGATCTCCTCCGTCTTGATGCGCAGGATCTTCTGCTGCTGCTCGTGCTTCAGCTCCAGCTCCTGAAGGCACAAGGGAGGAGCTCAGGGGGCGCTCAGGGAGGAGCTCAGGGGGCGCACGGGGGAGGAGCTCAGGGGGGAGCTCAGGGGGGAGCTCAGGGAGGAGCTCAGGGGGGAGCTCAGGAGCTCAGGGGAGGAGCTCAGGGGGCGCACGGGGAGGAGCTCAGGGGGCGCACGGGGGAGGAGCTCGGAGGAGCTCAGGGGGCGCACGGGGAGGAGCTCAGGGGGCGCACGGGGGAGGAGCTCAGGGGGCGCACGGGGAGGAGCTCAGGGGGAGGCTGGGGGGGGGAGCTCAGGGGGATGCACAGGGGGCGAACGGGAGGAGCACAGGGGGCGCACAGGGGAGGAGTTCAGTGGGGACTCAGGGAGGAGCTCAGGGGGGTGCACAGGGGAGGAGCTCAGGGGGGAGCACGGGGGGCGCCCGCAGGGGAGAAGGGCTGGGAGGGGCTCGGGGCCAGGGAGGATGGCTCCAGCTTGTCCCCAGGGCCTAGATGCGCCTGCCCCTCCCCACACAGCCCTGCTCGCGCCCCCAGCTTTACACCCCCGGTCCCATCTCGCTGGGGACAGCGCACAGAAGCAAACACTGACGGGGCTCCTACAGGGGAGGTGCCGCCGCCCTGACTTTCCCGTAACCCCCCCCTCACAGTGAGGGGAGGGCCACGGGGCCGGGAGGTGGGCCCGCGCCCCGCCCCGCGCCCGACCTTGACCCGGTGCTGCCGCTTGCTCATCTCCGTCTCCAGGCGCCGCTTCTGCTCCGTCTCCTCGCGCAGCCGCCGCTGCAGCTGGGCCTGCTGCTGCCGCATGAGCTGCACGTTGTGCTCCAGCTCCCGCAGCCGCTTCTCGCTCTGCGCCGACAGCGATGCCAGCCGCTCGCTCGCCTGCTTCCTCTCCCGCAGCGCCTGCACCGGCACAGCCTCCGCTCAGCTCCTCTGAGTCCCCACTGAATCCCCCTGAGCGGGGCAGACGGACGGGAAAGCGGGAGGAGGGGCCTAGCGGTGTGGCTCAGTGGATAGGGCATCGACCTGCGGACTGGAGGGTCCTGGGTTTGATTCTGGTCAGGGCGCATGCCTGGGCTGTGGACTTGACCCCCAGTAGGGGGCGTGCAGGAGGCAGCCGATCAATGATTCTCTCTCATCACTGATGTTCATATCCCCCCCCCCCCTCTCCCTTCCCCCCTGAAATCAATAAAAATGTTTTTTAAACAGGAACTCAGAAAAATACAAACAGAGAGACGGATGTCAGTACCAGGCCTAGGTGCGCTGTACATGCTAAATGACTCCAACAAATCCTATCGGAGAGGGTGACCATTGTCAGCCCCGTTTAACATTAGGAAACGGAGGCACTGGGCCAAGGGCGCACAGCTAGCAAATGGCAGAGACGGCACTCTGACCACCCGGCTGAGCACAGAAGGAACGGACAGTGGGTGGACAGCTGCATGGACGGAGGGTCAGCAGGGTGGAGGGACAGCAAGGTGGATGGGAGGGATCATGGGAAGATAAAAACCAGGATGCAGGAATGATAAAAGGGGACAGAAAGAGGCAAAGATGAAGGGGTAAATGGCTAGTCACACCAGCTGATAAGCGTGGATTAGAGCATGTCAAACTCAGAGCCCACAATGAGTATTTTCGCAGCCCAGACAATATAACAGTATTAAGAAATGATTTAATAACAATTTCATAACTTAATTTTCACAACATCCTGTTATACATAATCATCAATAACGAACCACAACATTTGCTAATGACTGATGACTATCATCATGCTGCATTCATTTCCCTCCACTAACACCGGCAGCAAATATTTTAGCAGCCGATCGCCACGTCATGTCTTGGACTGACTTGGTGTGCGCAACAGGAAATATTTCACTTTTGGAGAACAGGAAAAACAGGTTTATTTGCGTTACGCTTACTAATTTGTGCAGTGATTCAGTGTCTGGTAAGTTCACGGTCAAGGGAAATACTGATTTTTATTAAAATGATCTTATGTTACCGGTGACTCTTATTTCAGCCTTTTGCATTCAGCACGTCTCTATCGAAATAAGCCCAGGTTTCTATGAACACGGAAGCTTTTGCTGTGTTGCGGCCACATACACTCACAACA